GACTACTCTTGCCTGCTCTGTATGCCAAATAGGAGTTCATAGTTCAAAATTGTGTAACCAGACCACCCAGGAGTCCAGGCTGCCTGTCACTACTCGAGCCAATTCAGCAGAGACAGGGTTGAATCATATCTGAGCGTCTATTCCAATCCTGCCGGCAGTGTGGGAGAGCAGCAGGTCCCCCACAGAAATCTGCTCTGCCCTCCCATCAGCCAGCTGCTTATATTGGGAAGGATAAGATTATGTGCGGAAGTAGGAATTACAGGCATGGAAAGTGGGCACAGGTTACAAGTCATGCGGGCTGAGGGGGGAGGGGCAGGGACCAGATTACAGGTAATAGGGGAAGGGGCTTGTGAAGAGCAGGTGCCTCCAGGACTAGGTGCCACGAGGTTGTAAATCTTTTCATAATGATAGGGCAGTTCTTGGGAGGATGACCAACTGTATTCCGATGTTAGCTCCCATATCCCAGGGCGTACAACTCTCAGTGAGTGTAGAATGTGCTTTCTCTAATCAGAACAGAACCATCATGGTTAACAGAGCATGATTAATATTTCTTATAATTGTAGCTGGTCCCCAATGTATTCTATTTCTGCCTCGAACATTTACATCTATAATGAGTTAGAGGTAGCAGAGAGAAAGAAAGCATACCCTAGTACTTGTAAGGCTCTTTTATATAATATAAAGTAGCTGTATTTAAGTGTTTAAAAGAAATAAGTAACTTGCATTTTTAGCAGTCTGCAGAATTTATTCGTGTGATTGATCCTGCCAGTTGAGAACACATCACTAATCGGAATAAAGGCAGGAAGTCACACATCTCCAAAGCAAAAGCAGGAACCTCAGTAGGTGAGGGCCAAAGCTGGCCGCACCCTGGGGAATGTGGAGGCTTGGGGCATTTGCTGTGATGAGTGATGAGGATATGGAGGACAAGAAGCAACCCAAAACCCACCCAAGACCTACATCGTCAGTGATAAACAAGGAGTTAACTGTTAAACTGGAGCAGATGAGAGGGAATTTTGCCATTCTTAACCTTCATACGAGGGTAGAGGACTCCCTTCAGAATTTACAGCTGCCTTTGTGGTGCGAAAACCCAAATAGATAATCATTTTAAAGTAGCTGTGGATTGCTGGTGTCCATAGAACTAGCAAAAGCAAACAGATCCTCGTTGGAAGAATTCAACTGCAGTCTAGATCTTGACGTGGCTGTTGAGCCCAGGTTTTATAAACACTGATGCCTCATCACACTTAGGAGAAGGATCCTCTTATTATCAGAAGATGCAGGCAAAGCATTAAAAATTCAACACACGTTTTTGACAGCAATTCTTAGCAATTAGGAATAGAAGTGGTTTTTTCAACCTATTGAAATATCAAACTTTTTGTGAAATTTCAGAATTATTCTTTTTTTAAAATGTGGCTCAAGGCTGTGGAGCCTGCTGCCATGCTTTTCTTTAGTGGTGCAGCCCATGTCCAGGACAGCAGGGTAAAAGCAGAGAAACGAAAGGGCAGTTGTTTGAAGCGAAAAACCTGAAGTCTTATTTGTAGATGACATTCTATTTAGATAACCCCAGATAATCTACAGTGTAAATTAATAGAATTAATAAGAGTTTAGCAAGGTTCCTGTTTAAGACCAAATATAAATAATAATTATGAACTTATTTGTCAATAAGTTTAAGTATAATAAATTTATTGTGCATAATATAAGGCACCTTTTAATAAGTCTATAAAAATTTAGTAAGATATTTTGGGAAAAATATAAAACTTTATTGAAAGACATTGAAGAGAGTGAAATTCAGAAAACATTAGTGAGTGGGAAGATCATTGTCAGAAAGCTGTCTTTTCCCCCCAAAAATTAACCCAAAATGTCACATAATGCCAGTCAATATTTTAATAGGTGTTTTTGTTGTTTTTTCTCCCCCAAAGGTGTGTTTTTGTTGATTTTAGAGAGAGAGGCAGGGAGAGAGGCAGAGAAAACATTGATGTGAGAGAAAAATAGCGATTGGTTGCTTCCCGTATGCACTCACTCTGGGGGGTCAAACCCACAGCCTTTTGGTGTATGGGATGACGCTCCAATTAGCAGAGCCACCCGGCCAGGGCTAGGTCTTCTCATTGTATCTTCACATGCATAATGAGGAGAGCAGAGGGCCTTAGGGAAAGTAGGTTTATTTGCCCTACCAATGAGCACGACTTTTGTTAAAAGCTCATCACAACGTGGTGATGCTGCATGCTATGGACACATGGACTGTTGGGACAGAATGGACAGCTGAGGAACAGACACATCTGCATATACTGTAAGTATTGGTAGATGTTGGAGATGGCTTTGTAGATCAGTAAGAAAGGGGTTGAGTAAATTGATTTGGACGTAGGTTAGTCATATGGAAAAATGAAATGGATCTCTTCTTTACCTTCTACAGAAAAATCAGTTCCATAAGTGACCTCACCAAAAAAATGTTGAGCAAAACACTATGTTTTGGGAAAATATATACCCTATGGTATAATTAAAACTATTTAAAATATAAAAAATAATGCCATATAATTTTTCAGTTATGCAACTGAGAAAATATTATTGAGAAGAAAACATTGAAAGGATAAAGAAATACAAGAGAATGGTGAACACTGGATTTAGGATCCTATTACCAAATGGAGAGGATATAGGGACATAAGCAAAGAAGATTTTTGTTTTATAAGTTGAATGGGTATGGCTGTTTATTTAAAAAATCTGTTTGTGACTTAAATCTTTTATGATAAATTTAAAGTAAAAAGTTAAATTCCGTCGTTTTCATGTTGATGTTGCCTTGGTGACTGCCTTGATTTAGCTCGGTGATTTCCATGGGAAAGAAAAAACTCCTCACTCATAGGCCAGCAAGGCAGGCAGGCACAGGTATCCAAACTCATAGTGTGATCTTGGACAAATTAATTATTCCCCACTTCTCTGTCCCCTCATCTGTAAACTGGGTTCACACATGTACACTCTTAGTATAATATATGTTATAGCTCTTAATTTTACTGTAGATTCTAGAGTTTGTGTAAGTCTTCCCTTAAACTGCTATGAAGTCATTAATTTTAGTTTTAATGCAGTGCTTTCGTTTATTGCTCCTTACCTCCCTTTTTTGAAACTTTTTCAAGCCTTATGATTTGTTTTTCTGTGTACTTTTCTGCAGGTTTTCTCAGATGATGAAGTATAAATTATTTTTTAAATATATTTTTATTGATTTCAGAGAGGAAGGGAGAGAGAGCGATAGAAACATCAATGGTGAGAGAGAATCATTGATCGGCTGCCTCCTACATGCCCCCTACTGGGGGTCGAGCCCATAACCTGGGCATGTGCCCTGACTTGAAATCGAATTGTGACCTCTTGGTTCGTAGGTTTATACTCAGCCACACCGGCTGCACAGGTTATTTTTCTAATTAATTAATTAATTAATTTATTTATTAATTAAGCCTCACCCAAGGATATTTTTCCATTGATCTTTAGAGAGGGTGGGAGGGAGGGTGAGAGACAGAGAGAAACATCGATGTGAGATATACACATCAATTGGTTGCTTCCTGCACATGCCCCACCAGGGTGGGGGATCGAGTCCACAACTGAGGCACACACCCCTGACCACAACCCAGCCCAGGACACTTCAGTCTGTGGGCCGACGCTCTGTCCACTGAGCCAAACTGGGTAGGGGAGAAGTTATTTTTAGCAATATAAGAAGCCAATAGGGATTCAAAATGGTTTGTGTTTTCTCCATCAGATTGCTATTCTGATTGAATTATGGACGGAGAGGCATTTTGTATCCCTTGGAAACCACAAAATGCCTGAATTTTAAAAAGTTTAACCCCTAATCATACTAGTCTGAACATCAATGATTTTGCATTTCTGAATTCATTTTTACTGTAAGGTTTCATGGTTTAATAATTGGAGTTAACAGATTGCTTTACTATGAGTGACAAATTCTTTTCATAAATGTACTTTACTTTTAAAAAAATTTTTTTTTTTTATTTCAGAGAGGAAGGGAGAGGGAGAGATAGAAACATCAATGATGAGAGAGAATCATTGATCGGCTGCCTCCCACAAGCCCTCTACTGGGGATCAAACCGCAAACCTGGCATATGCTGTGACCTGATGCCATAGGTCAGCACTCAGCCATTGAGCCATGCCAGCTGGGTTGCAACATTATATTATTTTTAGGTCATTGTTTTTCTAGGACCTAGGTACTCCTAAGTTTTATTCTTTCTTAAAAATTATTTTTAAATTACAGTTTACATGCAATATTATTTTGTATTACTTTCAGGTGCTAATTTTGTTTTAATCATTTGCAACCTAGAAATTTATGGGCATACATGCTTTAAATTAGAAGTTTAATGCTACATATCAAAACACATTTTTTCCCCAGGGTGTTGTAGTTTTTGTTGATTGCTGAATATTTTGCATTTGTTCCTTTTTTATATTGTATTTTTCTTAAGACAACAGCTAATATTTTCTGATTCTGGACATTTGACAGATTTCTAGCCAATAAAAAAGAATTTAACTGAAAAATTTTTGATAAAAAAATTCTCCAATAGATATCACCTCCTCATCTGAAAATATAATATGCTAGAATAATTGAAACAGAGGTACCTGATAGGTTCATGACTCACTCTCAGGAGTTCCTAACTTTTTAAAAAAAATTGATTTGAGAGACAGTCAGACATTGATTGTTGTTCCACTTATTGATGCATTCATTGGGTGTGTCTTGTATGTGCTCCGACCAGGGATCAAACCCACAACCTTGACGTATCAGGACAACACTCTAACCAACTGAGCAACCCGGCCAGGGTCCTTTACGTATTTTTAGAATTTGTGTGTACAGATCATAGGCTTGTGTGTGCTCCGAGGAAAACATGTCAGGACCCCGGGTGGGGAAGACCCGCTCCCCCTGTCGGTGGCCCAGTCAGTGCCCTCGGTCATGTGTGGGTTGTTTGCTTGTGTAGGTTGCACTGACTGAAAACCTATGGAAACACTGTTTTTGCTGTATTCTCCAGGTCGAATTCGTACGAGAAGGCAAAACTCCGGGAGTACCACCAATGTCGCCTCTATACCTTCTGATAGTCGAGGCCGCAGTCGCGCTAAAGTGGTTTCACAGTCCCAGCGTAAGAAATCTATTTTATGTTCTCTGTTAACTAGGTTTTCTTCAACAGCCCATTCTCATTGACTTCAGGGGAAAAATGCTGTGAGTAATCTTGATGTTTCTTGGGCAAGCTTACAAAATGGGAGTATTCAAGTGTACTTTTGTCTCCTGTCCAGGTGATTTAAATATTTTATCATTCCTCATTAAACATTAAAATGTGCTTTCTCTTCCTCTCCTCAAGTCTCTCCAGCTGAAACATGCCCCATTGTTCTATTGGTAGGCAGTCCTTCTGTCATATCTAGGAGCCGTACCTGGAGAGAGGCCGGGTAATGCGAGGTCCTCTTTCCAGTGCTCACAAGTAAATCCATTGAAAGCTCTGCCCTTTAACCTTCTGTTCTAACACCGCCACCCGCTCCTGTCTCCTGGCCAGCGTGGGCTCTTGCTTGCACGGCTGCCTGCCTCCATGCTTGCTTCTCTGTATATGTTGAGTCACTTAGTTTGTTAGCCTGACGCGTGAAAGCAGCCGTAGAAGGAATGACTGCATCCCTAGGATCACCCCTGGTGTCTCACTTTGAGTCGCCTGCTCCCTCTCTGCATGTGGAGTGGAGCTGGGTGTCCGTCTCCTGGGCCCGGGGAGTGGAGAGGCCTTCCCCTCCCCAGGAGCTGCCCTGCTCTCTCCACACAGCACTCTGCAGTGTCTCCTCCTGTGTAGAGAGCACTGGGTCTGTGGCCAGACCCTCGGTTCTCTCCTCGTATTTAGGATGCCTTCTCAGCAGCTTCTGAATTTAGGTCCTTCTCCATATCCCTTTGATACTATGGTCCTTACGTTAAGCTAGCTTATACTTTTCTGGAAAGAAAGCGCAAGGTTAGTTGTATTGCTGCCTTTGGTGAGTTGACAGAACCCAGGCTTGTCTGGCACAGAAGCCCCTTTTCCTACTCGATAACACACCACACACACCACACCACACCACAGCACACACACCAACCACACACACCAACCACAGCACACACACCACAGCACACACACCACACCACACACACCACACCACACACACCACACCACAAGAGCACACCCAACATCTCATATCACACACACGACACCACACACACCACACCACAACACACCACACCACAGCACACACACCACAACGCACATTCCCACATCACACCACATACACACCACACTACACCACACACACCCCGCACCACACCATACACCCCACACCACACACACCACACTTACGATTGTTTCCAGGG